GGCAGGTGTAAACAGTCTCTGTTTACACCCACCTACCTCCAATCCAATTCCACATGCGGCTCTTTACACGCTTTAATGTGGCTCTTGTGTGCCGGGCGCCCGCTCCCCTCCCTCCTCTCGGGCGGCAGGGACTCTGCAGCGTGATCCAAAAAAAAAAACAGCCAGGGCAGCGTGCTCAAATGCAATGATTGGCCAGTCTCGCTGCCACTCACATCCTGATAGCCAGTGATTGGCTGTCAGGATGTGTGTAGGCGGGGCAGCGTGACGAACGTGAGAGGAGCTAGGCTCCTCTCACAGTCCGCCCTGAAGACCGGAACGGCGCGGGAATACGGCGAGAGGAACGCGCGGAGCAAAGGTAAGTGAATTGACACAGGGGGGACTTGGCTTACTACTTGCTACTTACTTACTACTACTATATAAGGGATGAATTAATATGGGGGATGAATTACTATGGGGGATGAATTACTATGGGGGATGAATTACTATATAGGGGATGAATTACTATGGGGGATGAATTACTATAGGGGATGAATTACTATATGGGGGATGAATTACTATGGGGATGAATTACTATGGGGGATGAATTACTATGGGGGATGAATTACTATATGGGGGATGAATTACTATGGGGGATGAATTACTATATAGGGGATGAATTACTATATGGGGGATGAATTACTATGGGGGATGAATTACTATATGGGGGATGAATTACTATATGGGGGATGAATTACTATATGGGGGATGAATTACTATATGGGGGATGAATTACTATGGGGGGATGAATTACTATATGGGGGTGAATTACTATATGGGGGATGAATTACTATATGGGGGATGAATTACTATGGGGGATGAATTACTACATGGGGGATGAATTACTATATGGGGGATGTATTACTATGGGGGATGAATTACTATATGGGGGATGAATTACTATAGGGGGGATGAATTACTATATGGGGGATGAATTACTATATGGGGGATGAATTACTATATGGGGGATGAATTACTATATGGGGGATGAATTACTACAGTGGTTCTTAACCTGGGTTCGATCGAACCCCAGGGGTTCGGTGAGTCAGTCTCGCGGGTTCGGCGGAGGTGAAGACCCACACCCGACTCATATGATTCGTGCAGTAAATATTCATTATTATGTTTTTGTTTTTGTGTGAAAATCATGTTTTAATGGTTTTGTTCTTTGTTCTTAACGGTTTTGTTCATTTTGTGCACCTATGTATAAATATATACCTAAATATATACCTATGTTTTGAATTTTAAAAATCATATTTTATTTTTCCAATTAAGAAGGGTTCGGTGAATGCGCATATGAAACTGGTGGGGTTCAGTACCTCCAACAAGGTTAAGAACCACTGATCTAGGGGAAGGGATCAGAGGGCAGTCAAGTGTAAATGGACAGCAGAGTACACTTACTCCCGCCACTCCATAGAGCAGAGTTGGCTCTGTCCGTGTCCGCTCTGTATACACGAACCTGTCATTTACTATGCTCTTATCGGTATTAGCGGACAGAGCCCTGCCGATCAATTTAAAGTCCACCTTGTGAGTTAATAAATAGAGCTGTTACCTTCCTCACCCCCTTCCTGCTTATTGTACAAAGTAGAGGCTGCAACACGCTGATAAGTTATCATCTCTCTCCACCTATCAGATGCATGTTCTCTCTTGGCATATATACAGGAAGGCAATCCTGATTGGCTCCTTCTGCTGCCCCTACTTCTGGCAGTGTGAGTTTGACAGATGACAGGACTTTGATTGGGGCCGTTGTTAGAAATTATGGAGCCCCATACAGCCTACCTGATGGGGCCCCTGACCCCACTCCCTGAGGGCGGAAAGAGGCAGGGGAGTGAGGTGAGAGAGGGTGAGAGGAAGAGATGAGAGAGAGAAGAGGATTAGAGAAAGAGGGGCAGAAATGGGACAGAGGAGGGGGAAGGGGTGAGAGAGTGGGGGAACGGGGGGAGGTGAAAGAAGGGGGTAAGAGAGAGGGGGGTGAGGTGAGAAAGGGGGGGTGAGAGGGGTGAGGTGAGAGAGGGGGAGGGTGAAAGAGGGGTGAGGTGAGAGAGGGGGACTGTGAGGTAGGGTGAGAGAGAGAGCGAGGGTGAGATAGGGTGAGAGGGAGGGGATGAGATGAGAAAGGGGGGGGTGAGGTGAAATGGGGGGAGAGAAAGGGGGTGGGGGGGGGGGGGGGGAGATGAGAATGTGGGAGGTGAAAGAGAGTTGGGTCAGTATGTCTGCTACTCACAATTTTGGCCCACAGGCTACTGTCTTGTATGCTCAGGCAGCCAGGATCTAAACCTGCTGCTTTGTTCTGTATATTTAAATCTGCCGCCTCCATAGCCCCTTTCACAGGAGTGTGTGAAGATCATCCTCCATCGACTCACAGGAGTGTGTGAAGATCATCCTCCATCCACACACAGGATCATCTCTTTCCAGCCAGGGACACAGCAGAATGAATAGGAGATCAGGGCTGCAGAGCAAGGGCAGTGATCCCGATGGACGGTGAGCGGAGGGGGTGGGGCTTGTAATCCATGGCTCTCCCGGATGGGCATTCCCTGTTCTATGGCTGGACACCATGCTCTCCACTGTCTCCATCTTGTCCTCATATAAGGGGTCTGTGTTTCTGGGGAGGATGGAGGAACTGATCACATGTCACCGATCTATGAACAGTGCTCCACAACGGGTAGAGGTGAAGTGACAGAGCCTGTCATGGGGCCCCTTGACCTGATGGTTAGTCCGCCCCTGTATAGAACACGTACTGAAGCTGCCAATTGGCCGGGCCCCCTTTTTAAGTGATGGGGCCCAGACCCCCTACAGGAGGCCTGGTGGTACCCCCATATCAGCGGCCCTGGTGCTGATATCAAACCACCAATACTAGTTCTAGATAAAAATGCATTTACAATAGTTATTTATTAGGAAATACAAAGAAATAGAGTATTAAATTGTGTTTTTTTTGGGGTTTTTTTGTAAATATTTTTTAATATTTCCGAGGAGATTTACATTAACATTGCTCTTTGTTGAATAAACCCTTCACTACCTAATGTCTTCACCTCAAGTCCCTGACTAAAGAAGAATTGTGGTTGCCCCGGGTTGCTTGGCTTTCCATGTTATCATTCCTCTTTGCAGTGCATCATTGAACAGACAATCCTAGGACTGTCATGGGTGGGAATATTGACGGGGAAGAATGCAGATACCTGATCCGAGGGGCTATCTTCATTTTTTTTCCCACGTGTGATATTAGCCAGAGCTGTCCTGTCCAGCAGTTGTATCTCCTCTCCATCCTAATGTTCCTCTCTCACGCAGACATTGAATCCCCTCATTCCCCCCTCCTTCGTCTGCCCTCGGGGCCAAAGTCATAGTTCACCAACAATGTCACCCACATTGCAGCTTTCTCTGTCACAACCCAGGTCAGCCCAGCTCGGCTATTCATATTAGGATATGCAGTGTGTCTCGGTGTGAATTTTAGGACATGGCGGCCTGGTCGGGAGCTCTTGGTACATCTGGCCCTTATGCTCAGTAATTCCAGGCTTGGTGATTTTACAACTTTTCATAGACAAAGCAGAGTGAGTCTTTTTAGAGCAGCGAGGGTATCTACGCATCCAACTACCATCACAAATCCAAAAAATAAGGGGTCTTAGCCTAATTTTAGTATAGTGGTCAGAGCTCCATCTATTCCATACTGCAAATTATTACTAGGCCCATTTGAGAAGCCCTGGAAGGAGCTTTATTACATATGAGATGGCAGCCACACCATTCCAGCTGCTGACCTGAGATGCAATGCAGGTGCCAATGACTCATTTTCAATTCTGACAGTTTGTAATGTAGTGTAATGACTCTTTTAGGATTTGTTCACATAGCTGAGCTGTGCTTTTACTGCTCCCCCCTAAGCTGTAGAGACAGCAAATGGGGGTTAGACAGATGCCGTGGGTGTGATGCTTTGCTTCCTAGCTGTGGCAAGAATTCTATCTTTTGTAGCTTTCAAGTGAATAGAGCCACTGTGCAAGTGCCCCCTCAACAGCGTGCAATTCACACGGTTGCTGCACGCTAGTGCTGGGTTCAAGGAGGCCATACGAAGCCTGCTCACTGCCTGCCAAATGCTCTCTGAAGACTGGTCGCTTTTCAGAGACCAAAGCAAGTGTGAACAAGCCTTTACTTACACTGTAGTACAACAATCAGGCAAGTGGTTGGTCAAATGATTTGAAAATGTTCACTTGCTAGTGATGAAGCTAATAGAGATTGTAGTAAACCCAAATGAGGAACAGACATAGTAAAGTGTATTAAAAGCCATTTTTTAAACAAAGTTTTGGATAGATTGTTGAAGTGTTAGACCCCCTGTCAAGCTTTTATTGCTGTGCCCCCATTGCAGTGATTCATCCTTACTATTTGTCCTAGTGACTATTTTGTCTGGAAAATCTAATGTTTGCCATTAAATCAGCAGGTGAAGGGAAATATTCCAATGGAAACAGTCTGTATGCTCTGGTGACAACTGACTGTACAATCTCCTTTAGATCATGTCATGCAAGGGCCTGCCTGATTGGATAAAATGATTGGTTACATAAGGTAGGTGTTCATAAACATATGCATGGTAGTTAATCGTCTCCTAATTTCAGCTTGTTCAATTAATCACTTCCCGTCCACCCTGTGTAGCAGATATTCTGTTACAGGGTGGCACAAGTGCGTAAAATCACGTATATATACGTGATTTTGCATTTCCGGTAGGGGGTGTGCGCTCGCCCTACCCGCGCCGCCATTCATGGCACAGCACAGCCATCCCAATCAGTGTGCTTACAATAAAGCACACCCCCCCCCACCCCCTAGTAAAACACTCCCAGCACATAGTTAACCCTTTGATCGCCCCTCACATTAACCCCTTCCTGCCCAGTGCCATTAGTGCAGTGTCAGTGCTGTTTTTTTTTTTTTTTTTTTTTTTTTTTTTAGCACTGTATTGGTGTCACTGGGGATGTCAGTGACACCAAGTTAGTTCCCCCCCATTCGTGGCCGCGGCCGATGATTACTCGCCGGCGCCCGGTGATTGCCAAGGATCTCCGATGGGGGGGGAGAACTGTATGTAAACAATACAGTTCTCTTCCCTGTCAGCTTGTGCACACTGCTTTGAATGGCTGTGCACAGCACAGCCATGCAAAACAGTGTGCTTACAGTGAAGCTCACAGACACAGCCCCATAGTAAAACACACACAGCACACAATTAACCCTTTGATCACCCCAGATGTTAACTCTTTCCTGCCCAGTGCCATTAGTACAGTGTCAGTGCTTCTTTTTAGCACTGATCACTGTATTGGTGTCACTGGGGATGTCAGTGACACCAAGTCAGTTCCCCCCAGTGTCAGAATGCCCGCTGCAGTCCCACTAAAAGTCGCTGATCACCGCCATTACTAGCAGAAAGAAAAAATCCCAGTATCTATACCACCATTTGTAAACGCTATAACTTTCACATAAACTGATTCATTTACACGTATTGGGATTTTATTTTAGCAAAGACATGGAGCAGAATACATTGTGGCCTAAATTTATGCCAAAATTAGATTTTTTTTTTCATTTTTACTGGACATTTTTAATTGCAAAATGTCCAAAATAGTTTTTTTTCTCAAAATTGTTGTTTTTTTTTTGCTTGTAGTGCAAAAAATAAAAACCGCACAGGCAATCAAATACCACCAAACAAAAGCTCAATTCGTGGGAAAAAAGGACGTAAATTTTGTTTGGGTGCAGCTTTGCATGACCGCGCAGTTGTCAGTTAAAGTAAAGCAGTGCCATAACGCAAAAAATGGCTTTGTCAGGAAGGGGGGTAAATCCTCAAGAGGGCGAATGGTTAAATGGTACATACTGTATATTACCAATTCTTTAAAGTAAAGCAGTGGATAAATAAAGGGCAGGATTGCCTGGAGGGAGCATGAAAAAAAAATGTACATCCATTTGATAGGTACTTAAAGGCAAGTTCCACTTTTACCATTTTTTTGTTACACTTTTTTTTTTTTTTTTTTTTTTTTTTTTTTCAAATTCACTTTTCTGTTAGATTTTGTGTTTTGAGGTCCTTCTGCCCTCTCTCATGCTGCATTAAAGGCACCAACATTTGAACAAATTATAGCAGATACCACTCTCACTGTGAAAGGAAAGCTGTATCCAGTGTCCTAACTGGACCATTATCCCACCTCCCCATTGCCTGTGAACCCCTGGAGCACTGTACACCTCTCTCACACTGCAGGGATAATTGACATGCTAATTCCTTTTCTCTCCAACTATTTTTGTTGCTGCCTGCATTGTATTGTAATTATAGAAACATAAGCCCAGTAGCATCCATATATTTAGCACAAGAAAACAATGCTGGAATTCCTATGCCTTGGAGAGCTGGCCAACAAAGTGGTCCAGCAGGGGACAAGAGAACACAATGGAGACAGGGAAGTGGCAACAGCAATGGGCATTGAGTTCTTGTTTGTAGCTGCAGGTTGTTGCATGGGAGCATTACATGTAAATGCTGGCTTTAGTAGGTTGTGGGAAAAGGCATGGGAGCATTACAGAAAATGCATGTAAATGCTGGCTTTATCAGAAGCAACTGGGCATCGGCCAAGGGGGGAGATTTTTAAAGGGCCTAAAATTTAAAAATTCTAATTTTGAGGTACATAAAGGGAACGTGCCCTTTTAGTTTCTATCCAAGTGTAGCTGTAGTGTAGCAGTCTGCTAAATCTCTTTTGTCAGTGATTTGGGATCTTCTTTTTCTTACCTGTTTGCAATTCAGGACATAGCAACAGGTCCAGTTTTAATGCTGCTCTACCATTTGCCATACTTGTCTTCCCTTTGCTTCCTATAGTTTCTGGTTCGGATGCTGGGAACCAACCTACCCGGTACTTCCAGGCATTGGGGGCATGTGACTTGATCCCCTTCCCGTGACAGGCTGGTGCTTGGATTGACTATTCATAGTGCTTGGAGCTTACACAAGGTTTCCTTTCTTTACTGCCAGCAGCTGAACAGAGCAGCAGGGTAGCAAAGGAAAAGTCCATATTGCACATGCAGCTGATTGGGCCCTCATTAAAGGGACCTTTGCCTTGCATGGGCAGAGCACATGTTCACTTTAGCAGAAAGGTATGAAGAAGCAATATACCAGTGTGAGAAGAGGTAGATGGAAGCTGCTATTTTATTGCCAGTTAGGCTTGTATCTTTTAGCTGGGGGATCCAACCCTATTTAGCTGGTTAACAGTTGGTCAGTCTGCTACCCTACCAGTACAGTGATCCTCCCTTTTTGTCCAAGACTCCTCCAGACCATTTGGATGATACTGAGGCTTACTTCCACAAATGCTTACAATCTTGCTTGCATTGTCTGACCCATCTTCTGTTGTCAGTCCCCCAAGTGATCTGTGTATTGGCACAGATCACCTGATCCAGGCTGCTTCATCACATTATTGGATATTGAAGGCATGAAGAATTTCCATTATTACAAGGGAAGAAAATGCTTTCTCATTATCATTTGTTCTTATAAACAGCAGGTTTCATTTTAAAAATACTTTCAGTTTAGGTTGGGAGTCGGGAGTCTTTCACAAAGAGAAATATGTAACCCAGCATGATCTTGTTGTGAAAATGTTAGTTGCCTAACTGCAATGGAGTTGGTTTACTAAAGGTAAATAGATTGTGCACTTTGCATGGGCATTTGCTTAAGAGCTTAGTAAATGAGGTGAAGTTTCACTACCTAATCACATGCAAGGAAAACGAAAACGTTTTTGCTTGCACATGACTGGATGATGGAAGTCAGCAGAGCTTCCCCTCATTTACTAAGCTCTAAGAGTCAGGGGTAGGCAACCTTAAAGAGGTGGAGATCTACCTGAACAACATGGCAGAAGTCAAAGATCATCGGGCAAGTATCGGCCAGTATCACCTCCTCACACCTGCTTTAAACCTCTAATTGCAGTACTACCGTGTCACAATCGTGTGCTGTGCACAGCAATCATGGGTTTAAATCAGGTGTTGAGGAGGCAGCATATCGCCTCCTCACCACCTTTCAAACATACTTGGATCGCTGTGCAGAGGAGGAGTAGTGTCTGCTGCAAATGTGAATGAGCCCTTAGTTGCATCCGGCAGCAGCACTTTTAGGGCTTGTTCACATGTAAAGTGTAGTTTGGTAAAACCCTGCGGTTGAGACATGGTTTTACCACCCCAAATCCCTACCCCCCTTTAGTTGCAGAGGCAGCAGCCAAAGGTATACACATGCCGCAGCAGGAATTATACACCCCCTGTTGCTTTTTGTAGGTGCTACCGCCTGTCATTCGAGACTTGAATGGCTCATGCTTGGCAGGTGCTACACCCACCCAACTATGACAGGGCATAGGAGCCAGCAGTACAGAGGAGACATCAGCTTATGCGTTTCTTGCTCCCTACTACAGCTCCAACTTTACAAGTAGTCCCTCTGCATTGCACTCTGTTTGATGCTGTAAAATGGTGGGTCATCAAGCCCAGACCGCGATCGACCAGTCACCTGGCTGAGATCTACTGGTAGATTACGATCTACTGCTTGCTGACCCCTGCTCTAGAGCAATTGCCCTTGCAGTGTGCAACTGCACTTGAAAAGTGCACAGTCTATTTGCCTTTAGTAAATCGACCCCAATGTTGACCATATGAATATAGTTGTTAGGTCACTGATTTGGACAAGTATGCATGTCACAAGTTCTACCTTTGTGAGCTGCAGCAATCCATGAAGCCAGAGCATCAGCATTACAGCCAGACAATGAGCATTTTCAGAAAGTGTTCAGCAATTTCTGTGATAAATTTCATACTATGCATTGTTTTCATAAACTTGTTCCAGGCCAGTAGAAACCTTTGAAGCCCTTGGATCAAGAGAACAGCCAGGAGCATTTACCAAAATAAAGTGTGTTTTCCGAGTTCAGGTTTCTTTAAGCTGCAAGGGGGAACGAGATATTCAAATATAATACATTAAATATATTACATATAGTATATAATTTGCTACAGTTTGTTCTTACATTAAACACACATGACAATATTCATATTGTATTAGGATGTCTCTAGAAGAAGAAACAGACCACATAGAGCAGGGAGGATTGTCAAGCAGCATCGGGGTGGTAAGGACCCCTCTCCCTTCCCTCTCACTCTTATCTACGTCACGCCTCCCTTTCCAGTCACTCTCACTTTCTGTTACTTGGCCTGAGTTTTCCCATTCCACCACAGGTCAGGCCTCTGACCCCACTGGAACACCATTATTACTCTAGGTTCCCCTGGGAGCCTTGGGGAACTGCTAAGATAGGGGATCATTGTTCCCAAGGGCTGCTGAGAAGTAGCTGAAGTACTCACAAGTCTGATGACGGGTTAGGAAAGGGGGGAGTAACAGCAATGCGGAGAACAAGGGAGGATCATGATATCCAAAACAGGAGAGGGGTGTATGGAGAAGAGGGAGAGAAGGCTGAAGGGTAAATAGCAGGTGACATAATATAGTCTTACGGCTAGGATTTGACCCGGAGACTCAAGATTTTTTTAAGACCAAATGGAAGTCTATGAATATTTTTTGTCTTTAAATATTTGTGAAAAGTACTTTGATTAAGTACCTTGTTATGAATATTATTGTCACCGTAATTCCTTTATTTTTAAAACCTTATTCCTTTTTTTTTCCTTTTATAGTTCATCATATTTCTTTACCCAGCCATGTTTTCTTCTTGTATCTAAAAGCTCTGCTTCCTGGCTTGCAGTACTGCATAATGATTGTGATCATGGCAGGATCTAGGGGTGCTGGGGTATGGGGTATGCCCCCCAGATTTTAATTGTGTCCCCAAAGCCAAAGCTATCTGTGTGGGGATGATGAGCTCTGCTGCCTGTGCCCAGGCTGTGTACAGTGCAAGGATGGGAAAAAAGGGGCTTTGCTGAGTGCCCAGCTAGCAATTACCCCTGTCCTCTGCCCTGCCAAAAGTGACCCTGTCCACTGCCCTGCAAGTTGTGACCCCTGTCCTCCGCCCTGCAAGTTGTGACCCCTGTCCTTCGCCCTGCTCCCCCCTATCCTCAGCTCTGCTGACCCCCTGTGCTCTTCCCTGCTGACCTCCCATTCTCTGCCCCTCTGATATTTTTTATTGCACCCCTACATCAGACAGGCTAGATCTGGCCCCAATTGTGACTGACTGTCCTGCATCTCTTACCAGATTTTCCAATCAGGTCTGACTCAAAACAGTGTACTTAAAGTGACACTAAAGTCTGGTTTAAAAAAGAGAAATCTATTCAGTTATATATTCTTAAAAGCCAAGTTCACAGTTTGAAAAAAAAATAATAAACACATATTTTGCAGGTAAAAAAAAATTGGCATTTATGTAGTTTTCTTATTAGCCTGCAGAGCATTGCACCCACGATCAGTGGATCGCGGGTGCAATGTTAGGCTT